TGGGCCAAACTGTGTGTACAGTAGGGTCTCAGGAGCTCAGTATCAACCACCCCAAGCACAATGGTCAGATATTTACACTGATCAGTCGCAACACGATGTGCCTAATGTTGTGTTGGTCCCCCTTTCGATGCCAAAATAAACCTGACCCATTGAGGCATGGACTCAACTAGACCCCTGAAGGTGTGCTATGGTATTTGGCACCAAAATGTTAGCAATAGGTCATTTTTGTTCTGCAAGATGCTAGGTGGGGCCTTCATAGACCAGACAGTTGTCCAGCACATCAAACAGACAGATGCTTGATTGAATTGAGATTTGAGGAATTTGGAGGTCAAGTCAACACCTCAAACTCATGCTCCTCAAATCATTCTGCTGTGTGGCATGGCTCATTATCCTGTTGAAAGAGCCCATAGCTATCTGGGAATACTGTTTCCAAGCCACCTCCATTCCATTGCTCTGTGCTCCAGTTCTGATGGTCAAGCGCCCATTGTTGGTACTTTTGGGGGTCAGCATGGGCAGCCTTTAAAGTCTGAGGTTATTAAACACCATATGCAACAAACAGCAACCGACTGTGTATTCTGAAACTTTTCCATCAAAATTAGCATTAACATTTTTCGGCAATGTGAGCAACAGCAACTCATCTATTGGATCTGACCACACAGGGCAGCCTTCATTTACCACGCAGATCAATTAACCATGACCACCCATGACCCTGTTGCTGGTTCACCATGGACCACTGCAGACCAGTAATGCCCCACAAGAACTGAAGTTTTGGAGATCGACTGACCCAGTCATCTAGCCATCACAATATGGCCCTTTGACAGACTCGCTCAAATCATTACGCTCGTCCATTTTTCCTGCCCCCAACACATCGAGTTTGAGGACAAGATGTTAATTTGCTCCCTAATATAACCCACCCACCATCAGGTGCTATGATGGAGATTTAATCACTGTTATTTACTTCACCTGTGGTCATAATGTTATTCCTGATCAGTGTAAATGTCACCATCTTTATAAAGTGATCTTCAGTGATTCTCTTATCAAATTAACTGAGAAATCTAAAAAAAATGAAAAAGCAACAATTAGTAACTTAGGCATTTTAGTTTGAGGAATTTCTAATATCTATAATTTAAGTGGTTTACAATAGAAACATCTGAAATAGGTCATTTAAAATAAATCCCTCTGGCCAAATACAGTACACAATGGCTGAGAAATGCATGGTTAAATCAGTCCTCACTTTAATTGGTATTTTATACCATTTATAACAAAAGGAAACTTTTTTGTTTAAAGGAGGAAACTACATTAGTAGAGAAATCCCCAAACCAAACAGATTTCACAATAGGAAAAAAGTCAGAAGTACAACTCTAATGCATTTAGTTTAAAGCAAAGCAGAAAACATGGATCAATCGTATTGGTCTCAAATACACAATAACATAAAAATTAACCCAATGACTTCCTGTGATGATAATGAACATGAGCAAGGCATTACTTAACATAGAACACAACTTTCAAACGATTACCCATCCAGCACAGAATTTTGATGCATTTTCCAAAACCGGTTACAAAGTTCCAAAATGGTACCTCTGAAATGTCTCGGGTAAACAGGCTTTAAAAAAGACAAAGAAATTAAACACAAGACAAAAAGATCACAAGGACACAATAAACTTTCCCTTCACAGAAGCCGTGATACTGAATGGAAACCGTACTATTCTTAAAAAAAGCAATCATATCCCTAAAAACACTGCTGTCTTAAGAAAATAGTAGATAAAAATATTCTCTGCATTTTACAACAAAGGAGGTACAGGGAGCACTGACGAGTTAGTTCAGTGGCAACACGACTACTCTGCTGCTTTCTCCTCCTCTTCAGCCTTGGCGTCCTTTTCGTCTGCTGCTGCGGCCTGCTGGAGAACGGAGAAAACACACTTTTATTTTGTTCTGTTTTGCGACAGTGTAAATGTCACGTGGCGCTCACAAAAGAGGGAAACTTAGAATACCTCATCAGCTTTGGCCTCTCCATTTTCTGCTGGCACCTCTTCCTTTTCTGCCTGAGGTTCTTCTTTTTTCTCCTCTGTCTTGGCTGCCTCTTTCACCTTTTTGGTCTTGGGGGGTGCCTGTGGTGTCATTAACAAACCAAGCATCATGAACCTGCTGTGCATTTTATGTGGTTATAGCGGACGTGTGCAATGGTAATATTTGGCTTTTACCTTTGTCTTTTCTGGCTGGGGTTTTGGTTGTGTCTCTTTCTGTAACACACAATGATGTGCCAAAATTACAAACACAGCAATGAGAAAATCCACAGATTAATCTGTCAAGGTCGTTGCTGAGCTTTGTAGACTTACCTCTGATAACCTCTGAGACTTTCTCCTTGGCTGAAGAAAAAACAAAGAAAAACAAAACAAAACACAGAAGGCCACATTAATTCAGTTAAGGACTCCGGAAGAGAAGCCCCCCCCCCCCAAGCATTTATGATGGAAAAAAAAACCCCCATGTTACTCAATGAGAGGTGCTACAATGACACAATGAGCCCACAAAGGGAAGTAGTAACTTCCAGCATGTGTTTCAGACATGCCATTTTATTTACACACCACCAAATCACAACAGGACACCTAAGGATGCTTTATACTGTAATGTAAAGATGTTGCAATAATAGACAAAACCCCAACAATCAGACAATCCCCAATTTCCAAGCACTTGATGACAGTGGGAATGAAAAACTCCCTTTTAACAGGAAGGAACCTCGACAGAAAGGCTAAAGGAGGGGTGGGGCCATCTGCCGTGACTGGTTCGAGGTTACAGGACAGGGGACAAAGACACACTGTGGATATAATTGCACTCTGTATGCTCTTCATTATTTGTCCTTTAAGGGAGCAAAGATGAAACTTTGCATTATGGGAGTTTGTTTTGATTCATGCTGCAAATTTAGCATTAGAAATATCTATATTGCTATTATTTAGGTTTATAATCAGTAAGGAAGCTGGATAAATATTAATTGCCAACTTAAGGAGAAGGGGTGGAATTAAACAAGTGTGCACTTCTTCCTGCTCCTATTCAATATGTATACTGAATCAGCATAGGTGGAGCATTATCAGAGTGTAATTTGCTTTATTCTGTATAGTATTTTTTTGTCCTTCCTTTTTTCCCTAAATGAAATAAATTGAACGAATAGTTTACTGTTTTAGGGCATTAGAAACACTAAACTCTTTACCTGTGCACTCATTTAAGACAAACCAGGTAAACAAGAACAATTTGGGCTGCACAAACTCAATGTAACTTGCACTTTAAAACCCATCCAATTTACGATCGGTCTCAAAACTCCGATTAAGACTGGGATGCACTGAGCTGGCTATGAAGCATCAATCTTATTCTGGGTATCAGCATTAGTTTTGAATTTATTAGTGGAAATACTAACCTCTGCACTTGCATCTGCATCAGTGGTAGCCTGAAAAAGACAAGAGAGTGAGGGGGGAAGAAACATAATGAGCCAAAACCAACAACCATTCATGAGTGAGCTAAAGTGGGTGTGTAACGCAAAGAGGTGGGGATGGTGGGGGGGATGGGCACTTCTCCTTCCCTTCAAGTCACAAAGAAATTATGCAATCTGTACGTGGGGAGGATCACGTTTTTGAGCTGACTCAAAGGATCTGGCGGGTGCCAGTTTATTTCCCACAGAGCAACAGCAGCTCCGTGGACACAACAAATAAGGAGTGGACTCGCTCCGCCTGCTGTCACTGTTTATATCACCAGCGTGACTAAACTGAAAAAATAAGACCATCCTCCATTACTAACAGAGCTCCGCTTGACATCAAAACGGCCAGATGTGTCGCTGTGCTGTCGAGGATCCATCAACTGCCATTAACGAGCCTAACCAGAGAGAGGGGGAGAAGGGACTGCACACCTCAGGCGTGACGCGCACCAGCCTTCCAGTGCGCGCACACTCGCCTGAGGTCAAAATCTCCGCCAAATTTGGCCGCAAATGCGGCTAAAAAACGCGACACGTGACCGAAGGTGCAGCTGGTACCTGAAACGGCACGCGTGCAACCCAGAGCACAAGTAAATAAATAAATAAGGAGGCAATTACGAAAGAAATTTCCTCGAAATGCCAACCTGTGCGCCTCGACGGTGGTTACACCCCTTTGTTTCAGCGCACAGTTGGTGATTATTAAAACTCAGCCGGGCACACATTTTACAAAACAGAAGCTTTAAACTGGACTGGGGGAAGAGAGCGAAAAAAGCAGTGCTAAGTAAAAAGGCGCCACTTCCCTGTATCAGCCGAGTGAGACAAGACAGACCTGAGCGCAGGAAAAGGTGGACTCCACGGCACGCACATGGACACGCCGTAGCGTGTTGCATTGCTCCTGCATACGTGTATTAACACCACAAAACAACTGCTACAGTTTCTTAAAACGCTATTTCTGCATCATGCCGACCCAAACGTAAAGCACACATTTTCTTTCCACTTACTTTCTTCCTTCCCATTGTTGCTTAGGTTGCACGGCAGGAATTTAAAAAAAAAAAGGGAACACTGCCTTTCTTTTAACAGTTACACAAACAAAAGGAGGACTTGTTGTTGTTTTGTCAGCCCAGCTACCTCTGCCTACACCTCCACCAGCTGCAGTCTGTAACTTAACATAAACGTCCGAGCAGTACCAGAACTAGCTCAAACCGGATTGGATCCCCCTCTCGGTATATTTTATCCCTTATCCTACCAACCTACCAGGAAGACAGAGCCCCCGCCCACTGCTTCCTGTGATTGGCTTTGAGGATGAGGCAGCATATTTTTGAAACACAACATCTTCACCTGTGTGGGCAGGACAGTGTGCCAATCAGTCAATCCAGGCCTTATCTAACTTTATAACCGCTTATAACCTGTATTAGTTGTGTGTGTACGTGTAGGGTTTGAATAATGCATGGCAAATGGTGAGTTTGAGATATAGTTTACATAAACAAAGAAGAATATAAAAATAAATAAATAGATCCTGCATTTTCCCCATTTTCCTATCCAGTCATTTATTATAGAGGACGCCATATATATGCACGTTACATTATTTTAGTGTTTAAAGAGAGTCGTAATTACTAACAGCATGTCCCGTCTTTAGTGGGATAATTATTAAAGTCAGTGCACCGAGCAGTCCAGTCGCTCAACAGCTGCAACAAGGAGGAGGCTGAGTGGAGGAGAAAGGAAACAAACATGGCGGCCGGTTATGCATGGCTCCTGGTGCTTGGCTCGGTTTTTCTCTGCAATCTTATGAAAATCCTTCTGCCGACCATATCTTCCTTCGTGAGTAGGAGTTATTGTTTGCATATATGATTGTTGTTAAAGTTGTTTGAATGCCGGTGTATTATTATCTGTGTCCTCGTCGGACACACGGTGGATTGTTGTTGACTAGCTTAGCCGTCTGTCAAGCTAACTTATAGCTGCTGTACCTCCTCAGTTATAGCTGAGCTACAACCAGAGGGTGGGGTTTCACCGAGAATCCAGTAGTTGCTGCATTTAACTGGGATTCCTTTTCCTCCTTTATCGCCAAATGTCCTGCTTTAATGTTAAGAAACTGTTTACAGCTTAGCTTTACGGCTAAATATTGTTTGTAGCTCGAAAGGTTGCCTCATGGAAATCCTCATGGAAAGTGTTAAACTGGCATTCGTAGGTGCTGATTAGACTGCCTAATAGGGACTACTACCGTAATTATAAAAATTTCAATCAGGCCCAGGCTGCTCAGTGATAGTATTTTCCCCCCTTCTTCAAGCTCTCAAAGATGGTGCAGAAAGATGCTGAGCAGGAGAGTGAGATGAGGGCTGAAATCCAAGAGATGAAGAAGGAGCAGTCCTCCATTAGCATGATGGATGAGTTTGCTAGATATGCCAGACTGGAGCGCAAAATCAACAAGACAACAGACAAGCTGAAAACACATGGTGAGATTTAAAAGTGCCTACTGACATTCAGAGGATAGATGGTGTGACAGGAGCCTCAAAATGAAGTTTACTGCAACAGAGTGATGAGCTCTAAAAAGTTAAAACTAATTGCTTTTTCTTTATGGAACACAGCAGAAAATATGTAGTAGGTACTCTGAAAGGGCATATATTATGTCTTCCACAGATGTGAATGTCTATTAATGTAGATTTACATGTTATAAATTATCAGTCAGAAGACATATTTGGGGGATTTTAGAGGTAAGTAACTGTTTTTGGCCCCATAGCCTCAGGATTAGCATCCACTTCTGTCACACCAACCCTCTGCATGTGTTCCTTCACTGAATCCATCAATCTTCTCTGTGGTCTTCCACTTTTCATCCTGCCTGGCAACTCCATATTAAACATCATTTGATCCAGCATATCCACTCAGCTTCCTCTGCACATGTCTAAAACCTTGTCTAAACCATGTTAGCTTGCCTCTAACCATATCTCCAGACTGCAGACCTGTCAATCTTGGTCACTCCCATCTTCAGTTCTGCCACCACCAGCTTGAGCTCCCGTCTTTTTGTCAGCACCACCGTCTCCAAACAATACATCATAGCAGATCTTACTCCCATCTTATGAACCTTCCCTTTCACTCTTGTTGCTATCCTTCTGTCACGTATCACCCCTGACACTTGTCTCCATCCACTCCAACCTGCCTGCCCTCTTCTCTTCACCTCTCTTGTTCATTCTCTCTTGTTTTGGTTGGTTGACCCCAGACAATCTGGTAAAGAAACACTGTCTATTCTGTGTGATAACTTACTTAGCAATACAAAGGCTGCTAAAGACTGTTTCTTTGCTGACCTATTCCAAAACCTGCACATTGTCAATTTTAAATTATTGTACAATCAGCATTACACCCAGGCTCTTCTCTATTTTGATTTTATTCTGACCGCAATGTCTTGTGATTCTCAAAGTGTTGACTCTAGTCTTCACCTGATTCTTGAATAAAAAGTAATAGTGCTGTCTGTTTACATTTAAGCAAAGATTTACTTTGTGTAATGTTGGTATTAACAAAGACCATATAAAGAATGGACTAATACTTTCCCTGTTACCCTGTGACTGGTTAAAAAAAGGAATTTATCCTGGTTTCAGTTCCCTGGACATGGGATGGTCAAATAATAAAGTGAAACAAAATGACAGTTCCGTCTGATTTAAAGGAACTGGCAGTATCACTACAAAATAAAGAAAAATTAATATGTTGAGACTAACAGTTGCATATTTCTTGTCTATTGCAGTCAAATCAAGAACCGCTCAACAAGCCAAAATGAAGTGGGTTGTGAGCATTGTTTTTTACATACTGCAGGTAGGTGGAGGTTTCGAGTAGAAGCATGAATGTATTTTAATTTAGTTGTGAGTCTATAGCACTGGCCAAAACCTCCAGATAATAATTTTTTGGTTGCTGAATCAGCTTATTTGCCGTTATTGACAGTATATGTCTGTTTTTGTGTTTTTGATGTTTTGTTTTTTCTTGTCAGGCTGCGCTGATGATTTCATTGATATGGAAGTATTACTCTGATCCAGTGACTGTGGTACCAAGTAGATGGATTGCTCCCGTGGAGCGCCTCGTGGCTTTCCCAACAGGAGTGGCAGGTTTGTGTTAGATAGCATAGCCTATAGTATACACTCAATGCACACAAGCTGCACGTCCTTGATGTGACTCTCCTGTTCTACCACATTCCAAAGCTGCACTATTGAGCTGAGATTTGGTGACCGTGGAGGCCATTTGAGTACAGCGAACTCACTGTCATGTTTAAAAAAAGTTTGAGATGATTTGTGACATGGCATTTTATTCTGTTGGAAACAGCCATTAAAAGATGGGTATAGTGTGCTTGATCCCTGAAATACTCAGACCAACACATCTGACACTAACCATGCCGCATTCAGAGACACTTAAATCAGCTTTCATTCCAATTCTGGTTCCCATTTTGAACTTTAGCATGTCATGTTTCACGTAGCTTCATGCATAAATTCATGGAGTTGTTGCCATGTGATTAGCTGAATAGATAATTGTGTTGAGGAGCAGTTGAATAGGTATATCTAATCAAGTGGATGGTAAATCCATAACAGCTTCATTATTAATAAAACAAACAAACAAAATTACACATAGCTTATAGTTTAATAGAAATCATGATGATTTTATTATCCACTGATAATAAAACCTAATTCATTTCACTTCAGTGCAGGTATTCTGCAATATGTAGATTTTATACAATATGATGCATGTAGTGTATCAATATGTGCTGTTCTTTTCCGCCTGGAGTCAAGCTCCATCAATGAGCTGTTTGTTTTGTTGTTTTTCTTTTTCAGGTGGAGTAGGAATCACATGCTGGTTGGTGGTTTGCAACAAAGTAGTTACTCTGGCTCTGAATGCTGTCAGCTAGAGTGTTTCCTAATCCTGTGCTCAACAGTTTCCTTTGATGACGAACGCTGCAGTTTTTGTTTTGTCGTTTTCAGTCAGCTGTTCCTAGCAAAGAACGTTAAAATAATGCAGTGCATATTGGTGATCTCAAATTGCAGCAGAAGTTTACTATAAAAAGTGTTATCATTGTTATCATTGTTTTATAATTATGTGGTTATTTGATTGTGTGTATATTGCTTTGAAACAGTGGTATGGAAATGTGGAAATTAATTTTTATTAAAAAGAAGAAAAAAAAAAGATGTGTTTTGTTATTTTACCTTTACCTGGGAATGAGCCAACCAAAGCAAATTGGGCAGTAAAACATTACTGTAATGAAATAACGACTGAAATAAAGAGTCTGGAGTAGAAAAACATTAGTTTACAGGCTGTTAATACGTTTCAGAAAGTCATACTGTGTGTGTTAAGATGCAGAAAGAAGTTTCTCTATGGTAGCTGCATAATAATCATGATGAGCTAGCCTTCACTTTCCTTTCAATTGCACTTTATTCAGTCTAAGAGCTGTGTGCTCCACCTCCATCAGTTTTCTCATCTGGTAGATGAAGCTCAGGAATTCTACTGAGGATCTCCACCTCAGAGCTTTCCTGTGGGCTCAAGTCCTCAGTGCTGTATGCTGGTCTTCCACAGTGCAGGTTCTCTGTGGTCTGTTTGAAGGTGTAGCTGCTTCTGATTCTGGGGAATCTGCTTTCTTTTCTCTTCGGTGCTGCTCGATTCAGACACCTCTCTAAAGTGAAGGCCATTGTGCTTTCATGCTGTGTTTGTCGCGTCTCTTCCTGCACCCGAGGGGCTTCTCCATTATTTTCATTTTCTGGGCTCTCATCTGAACAGATGTCTGAAAACTGATGTTTTACTATGGATTCAGGTCCATTGAGTGCCCGTGTGGGTTCTGGTTCCTCCTTTTCTTTGATACAATCTTCTTCATTTAGAGGCTCTGGACTGTTGTCTGAACTCCTGATGTCACTGCAATCTGAAAGCAAATATTTCAATTTGAAAAATACTGAATAACCTGACAAAATGCCAAAACAACTTATGCCTCTGTTACTACGATTTCAACCGTTCTTTTTTCCCCCTTTTACAGTGTTTGGTTTCTTGATTGTATATTGTTAGAGAATTGTCACTTTGTTAGGATTGAGTAACTTACTTGCAGATATCTTTGCATCGTCTTGGTGATTCTCTTTTAAAGACAAATGAGCAGGACCCTTTCTCTCTAGACGTTTTATAACTGAAAACTTCTGCGCTGGACCGTAACGACCCTGAAACAAGAGAAAGATTTTAAATTGGTTTGCTGATAAAATAATTTAAAAATGATAAAAGACAGGTATGTGAGAAGGTTGTTCTGTTTTTGAGTAACTGAACCATATACCCAGTTCACAGAGCTCTCCTGCTGCTCCAGTCTCTGAACAGGCTCTGAATATTCATTCTCCAAAAGACTTGCAGGGCCAATGGGGAGCAGGCCTAATCCATCTGTTTGAACCATCTTGTTTTCCCTGCCTAAAAATCAAAACCACTCAGACAGCCAATCAAGCATGAGCAAGCTGCAATAAGGCAGATTGGTTTTTTTGTTTTGTTTTTTTACCTCTATTGCTCGACCCGTTCTGGAATCGGTGGGAGTAAATGTTACGTTTTCCCATTTCCCGCTCTCTGTACTGTATGAGTAAAAAACATACCGCACACCGATCATCAGTCAGCGCCTTTAAATTGTTTACATATTTTTTTATATATATATTTATTTATTGAAAAATGACAAGTGAGTTTAACTAGTAACACCCAAGCATAAGACCTTGTGTTTCTACAGTTGATCATTGGCTATTTTTCTAATCAAGACTTTTTCACTTTTTCTTCTCCCAGACTTATATGGCGACAGGGGGAGGTGCCTCAGAATGACCACACACATCTCTTTCAGCTTACCGCAAGTTCTCTGGTGAGCTGATATACTTGCTGTTGCAGGTGGATGGATATTTTTCTCGCCTCTTTCATCTTTCTTTGCTCTGTGACTATTTGCCGCTTGAATGAAGCTTGGCACAACTCAAAATTCTTCTCCATGTCCTAGAATAGAGTGAAGAGACAATAAAGAAGCAAATGTTTAATGTAAAACATATTTTTTTAGGATGCTATATCGTCCACCATCATTCTACTCTCTGCTCCTTCGTACCAGTATCTTCTTGTCCTTCTCCTCCAGCTCAGCAGAGGCTTTGGCCAGCCTCAGGGTGAGCTCCTCCCGCTCCAGCAGGTTGTGATCCTGGCTGAGCAGCTGCAGGTGCTGGAGAGCTTCCCTTGTGTGCAACATTTTGTCTTCTGTGCTCCTCAGCTGCCTTGCTAGGTTGTCACGGCAGGTGCGGGTCTCACGGAGCAAATGCTGAAGAGCTCTGGCCTCGTTTTTGTGCTTGGTTTCAGTCTGTGAACAGATATGGCCAATATTATGACAATAACAGAAACACTGATGTTATTTGTGAGAGGGACGTATACAGGCACTATAAAGAGAAAGATGAGGAAAAATAGCAGTATTTTGTACACATACAGTTAATTGATAACATGAATCTGAAAAGCAAGAGAGACTAGTGGCAGAAACCACAAACCCACCTGTGCAATACTGTTCTCTGAGTCTTGGAAGTGCTGCAGTGCCACCATGTGGCGATGTTGCACGTTCTTCAGGAGTTTGTTCTCCGCCCTGGACTCACACAGCTGCTGCTGCAGACTCCACACCTTGTTCTCAAGCTCCCTGATGCGCTTCAGGCTTGGCTTTGGAGTCTCCAGGGACCTGATTGGAGGCAAGCTAACCATATAGCAGTTTGTAGTAGGGTTTGTCTTTTGCATGCTGCCCCCATGAGCTTTATTACCTGAAGAGGAAGGACACCCCAAAACACTTTACTCATGGTAGAGGGAATTGTATATAAAATATTTAGATATTGAGATGTTTGAGATATGAAAACTACCAAATACAAGTCTTCTAGACCGCTTTGATCCTTGCCACTGAAATGATGGGATGGCATCTGCTTTGTCTTCACACACAGAGGTGTATTGTGGATCATCAGAGCTACTGTATGATCCGGAGGGACTGGACCATATAGAGGTGTCAGAGCTGCTGGTCATACCTTCATCCTGCTTCTCGTGGGCAACAGCCTTCTGCATCATCAGGCCCTGCTACCTCCCACTCACGAATCCTCTTTACCTGAGAGAAAAGGCACAGTTCAAAGCCAGACTGGCATGAATAAGAATTTACACGAGGTAAAATAAATAATGCACCAGCCATAACGGTAATAAACCAACCTAAGTTGCTTCTATGCGTGGCTATCTTCTCAAACTCTCTCTGTTTCAGGCTGTAATGTTTAGCAGGGTAAACTATAGTTTGTTTATATACGAACAGAATTCGTTCACTATTCGTTGCTGGGGCTTTTTATTTATTTATTATTTTTTGTAGATGTACGTCCACGGTTGCCATGGTACCCAGCGGGTAAAGAAACAAAATAAAAAGAAAACAATAAAGTGACGGTAACTAAAAAAAAACTGAGCAAAAAACAAAATAAACAAAAAAGACCATTGTAGTCCTGCATGTAGAGGAGATTCTTTTAAAATAAATGTTCAATGTCCTTAATTTCTTATGAAAGGGAATGTAGACCACTCACGAAGAAGAAAAAAAAAACTGTTCAAGGACTCTAACAGGGTTATTGAGTATGAGACTTTGTTATTTGCCTACTCGAGCTGGCTCCATTCTTACAATGAAACTAAAGTTTAGAAAATGAAAACTTCATGTGGAAAAACTGAATAGAATGTAATTTAGAAAGGATTTCACAGGTTGGCGGATCGAGCCAAATATCGATGACATCAATACCGACGCTGGTAGTGGTACACTAGCATGATAGGATCGATACTTTCTTTCTATCCTCTGAATTCAGTATTGCACTGAACTGTCTTAAATTACTGCAGTTTTTTTTTATGAAAAACTATGCCTCAAACATTATAAAAAAAATGTCTGACTGACTGTCAAGTCTATTTTATTTATAGCCTGTAGCCCATCTGCAACACATCTCCAAAAACCCCATGAAACACGGAATTGTTGGTTTATTGTGTTTACTAATATTGTGTAAAATAACAATGATAGTGATCACAGTGTCATTAAAATGTGTTTAAGAATTTGCAATCTGATGATGATTATTCTCATAAATCAGCATATACTGATCTTGGTATCGACAATACTAGCCCTTTATTTACTTGGTATTGGATCGATACCAAAATTTGCAGTACCGCCTATAATCTTTCAAACATCTCAAACATCTCTTACGAATCAGTTTTTGGTTATATTGGTTATATAGCCTTTATTGCAGGCAAAATTCTCACTGACATTAAAAATGTCTTTGTCAAGAGAGATCTGATAGAGGGAAGCAAAAATCGCAACAGATATAACATCACAGCTCCAATAAGATATTTTAATAATTCTTAGGATTAACATGTAGGTAAAGTAACACAGAGTCATAAAGATTACTTGCAAAAACACTTAATTTCTTTATTTTATGTATGATCCCTTTGTAAAAACCTTTTCACCACAATATCTTTACCAATATAAGCAAAGGTGTCACGCAAAGAAAACATACAGAAACATCGGAATACAGTTTTTGGCACCCGATCACTTTTTGGCACAACACCGGGTTTGAAAACCTGTCAGCCTATAGTGCTGGTCAGTGCTATTTCTGTCCATATATGCACTCAGCAGGACGCTGGGAACCAGCTCCACTGCGCCCCCTCCCTCACCGACAGACAGCTGAAGTTGCCAATCAGTGTTTGTGAGTAGTGCTGCGCCCCTACGGGCCGACCCTCACTAATGGAGCCTGGAGACAAAAATAACCGTGTGTGTGAGTGAGTGAGTGAGTGAGTGAGTGAGTGATCGCTGTGCTATGTCTCCGTCCAGGGTGTGCTCTAATAATAGAGAAGGCTGCCTGCTCCTTTAAGAGACCGCTTGTTGCATAGTCGACAAAATAAATTGTAGCAAAATGGTCATTAAAGTTTTCCTCGCGTCTTCGTCGGGATCCACAGCGGTAAGCTTTTTACTCCAAAGGATTTATTTCTCTTAAAGTGAACTTTTGTGGTTGTAACCGGCCAGGACTGTCACTCATACAGTGACACGAGAGCGTTAAACCTCGAAATGAATGTGACTTGACTTTTATTAGGCATATCTAAACACTGCAGGCAAGTGCACGGCTTGATTTTTGCCTGAGTTTACGCCTGAGAGGCTCTGGTTCTT